ATATTCAATATACTATGTTTTTGTTTAACCTTCAAGTGCGGCCCAGTTGCATTTGTTCGCAACGCTCGAGTTGCTGCGAGGACGCGATGTTCTCCCCTCATGTGCTTGTCTGCTATTTAGCATCGATAGCGAGTGTTCTACGTTGACTGGCGACTTAAACACGCATGTCAGAAATGTCTCATTAAGTACATTGTCTTTACTAACTTATAATCAAGTTGAATGAGGACACAAATAGGCAGGTTACGACAAAAGGTACCTTCAGATATTTCTTAAGTGTGTAAGCAATTTATCCGAGATTAATATTCCTTTGACAAGTGCCTGTTTATAGATTTTCTGTTAAGTGGAAAGTAAATTACTTACCACGCCACACCATGATAGGGTCCAGCTCAGTGGAGTCCCTAGCGCGGGAGCTTGGGTGCAAAAACATTCTTTATCCCGAATCCAAATCCGCCATATTTGAACTCACACACTCACTAAAATCACTTTTCACTTTTAACGGGAAGTACAATGCCCTTTCATCCGTTGTCACTAATGCGGATTTTCCTAACAAAAGGAAAACATTCGGTTAGTGTAGGTATAAATTAAAATGAAAGGAACTGTTAATTGAGCATAAAGGTGGAAAAAGAAAATTGGAATAACAATAAAAATTTGAAAATAGCTTTTTTGGGCAAATAGAAAAGAAACAGAAAAAGAGGAGAAAAGGGAATAGAAATGACACTGAACTTTCAAAGTGTAGCGCGTCGCACGGCTGTGAGGGTATTTTGCTATTGGGCCGTTGAAACAATAGTGATGGGCAGCGTGTGCCGAAGAGTGGCCACTGAGGTCGTGTGTTGCCACACCAGTAAGGGAAGGTGGAAGGGGCTGCCGAAGTAACCTTGCATTGTAAGGAAAATAATGGAGATCTTCATTTTTTTTTGTTAATTGTATACGGAGGAAGTATATTATGTGTAGTCCTGGACAACAAATCTATAAAGTTACTATTTATTGCTTGCTTTGTTTGTGTGAGACTTCAATTTCATAACTAACTAAGGTGGCAAATTCAATAAATAAATTATGCTGAGTAAAATAGGATATATAAATCACGATTGCAATAAATAAATATCTACTTTTGCAATAATCCTTTGTAATGCTCGAGTGAAGCACATTAAGTCGTAAATTTTGTAATGATTGATTGTAAATCCATTTCTTTATATTAGAATTGAAGTACTCATATCTATCCCAAGAATTTACATTTAAATATGTCTTTGCGTAGTAACTAATATAATGTAATACACGTAATAAATATGACGAGAAAGTTTGCATAAAGCAACGTACAATAAGTGTAATGGCGGTCGCGCTCCAGCGGTTCCAGAGTTATGAAAATAGAGAAGATGCGTCGCAAATTATGGCATAAGATTCGCGGACCTCGCCGCGGCTGAAAGAGAGCGGAAAAACAACGCCAAGGTCGTCACCGTTGCGCCATACACGCGCGCCCGACTGGAAACACGAGTGTGTATCAAAGTGAGGTGCTACCAAGTAATTAGCAACTCGCATATAAGTGCCTAAGTACAGAGACAGTAATGTAACCTTGCGGAATAAAATAGTAATTAACTTAGATTAGTGGATCCATTTCAATTAAAATGTGAGTGCATTATTTTGTTCAAAGTCTATTGAAATTAATATTATAAATGCAAAAGTAACTCTGTCTGTTATGTTTTCAGGCCTAAACCACTGTTTGGTATAGAGGTAGGTGGGATCTAGGATTGGACATAGGCTACTTTTGTCGCAAAAATAAATCTGAAATAATAAAAATTAGTATCAGTAGGCTACTTGAAGCACTTATTTTATTTTAGGCAGACCAAATCGCCGGCACCATCTAGTTGAATATGAAGAAGTTTGTTTTGTTTTAGCCAACTCGTGAACGTATGTTAATTGGTGTTGAACACAGTTAATAAGTTGGAAAGGTCACGTGATTGATTAACGCGAGCTAATTTGGACAAACGACACTCCAACATCAATTTGGTGAGAAGTGTGAACGGCGAGCTAGACCACCCGTGTTAACGATGTCAAAGAGCGCTCGCAGTCTCTTCGATAATTTATTATTTCTCTTAGTTAATTTATTATTTCAGTAGCTGTGCTCGGGCTAGGAGTCAAAACATCCCGGGCTATGATTTACAGCGCAATAAACGGATCGTTTTATATCTAATGGAAATGAGCTTTTATCTGGCGGATTGCGCCAGTACCACCCCTGGTGATAGTTAAATTTGATTTAAGCCTTGTTTTGTACGTTCATTTTCAAGTGATTCTACATATATGCATGTTTCAATACTTGTTGGTTATTTATTGCATAACTACAAGCAAATGAAGGAAACAATATTTATATTTTCACCATCCAATTAATTTGTGCTGAGCAGCGTATACAGCGTTTTCAGCATAATGTTGTGATATCATGTTTCCAAATAAGAGATAAAGGGCAAAAAAGCACGATTGTGTTTCTACGGCTGAACGGAAAAGAAAATTACAAAATTATTAATTGTTTTTACTTATTACGTGTGTATATAATTATAACGTCTATCCATTAGAGGAGTTTTATTGAAATCGATTAACGGAAAGTGAGTGAAATCCAATATAAACATATTTATTTTAGCAAACATTTTCTGCAAATTTGAAGACGACCACTACTGAAGTACCCCTTTTCCAACAAATAAAAGAATCATCAGTCATCAAATCAGTTCATAAATAAATGGAGAATCGATAAATAATTTTAAAAAACATGAAAAAAAAAGTTAATTGTTATTATCGATACAAAGATCAAACAAACACAAAGAAAAATTTCCTCGGTCCGGTTGAATTCGAACCGGCGACTTCGCTGGACATAGTTAAATATTATGCTGCAGTGGGTTCAGTCGGGGACACTCCAAAAGTAACACTTAGATTCACTACGACGTGCGATGTGATTACTTTTAAAACACTTCTAAAGAATTGTGTGAAATGTTTTTTTTAACGTATCCATCTTAGATTTTTAACCAACTTCGAAAATAGGATGAGGTTTTCAATTCGATTGTTTTTTTTTAATGATGTTACGCGATTACTCCGATAATTTGTGAACCGATTTTGATGATTCTTTTTTTTGTTGAGGGGAGGGTACGTTAGTATATAGCACAATTTAAGTTTGAAGAAAATATTCCACCTCAAAAGGTGGCAAACTAGGGGATGAATGTCTATTGAGGTTGGTTTTTTTTAGTACTAAGATGTCATTTCATCATATGTCTCGTTTACATTTGACGTGTTTTCTCCAACGTTGACACAAAAATTATAATAGTTGTTCCAAAGTTCTTTTTCTTATTTTTTTATTACTAGCGTAAAAAATAACGAAGATTTTAAAAACTCAAACTTACAATATGTAACAGTACAACACTGCATTAAAAACTAAGTGCACTAAATATTTATTTACCGTATTTTGAAAAAAGAACATATATTTTCCTCCAATCTATCTCAAAGTTTTATGAATGAAATATGTACATTTTAGGATGTACATTTTCAACCGGTATCGACTTCAAAATTGACGAGTCAAAAATGGGTACTGACCTTTTCAGAGAAAACAATCTTTGGGTACAACAGAAATTAAATAAAAAATTGGGAAATTTGGCACAAGCGTAGTAGTACGGGGTATAGGATCCATGAAAATCGGGACACCTGGCAACATTAGCTAGAAAGAATATGCATAAGCATGCTAGACTCTACACTTACCATTTCTATTCATATTTCAATCAGTTGAGTGTTCTTTTACAGCAATTAATTTTGTATCTAAACCTCAATTACCGCTTTAATAGATTTTTCGAATTCTCTATGTTTATATTATATTACGTAGAAATTACTATCCACAATAGTCTTTATAAACATTCATAATATCGATAATGGAGTATTATGAGCATTGTCGAAGCGATACCACCACTACCACCTTGGGGATTCTTTTTGCATGCAAGCAAGGGCGGTCAGTTGCGGCCAACCGCAGCTTGCTTGTTCTTGTCAACTAATGGCGTTTAAGGGCCATTACATTGTACCCTTGATATAATAAAGGTACATATGATTATATGTCAAAAATGCTTTTATCACTTGAAAAAAAAAACGAATTTCACGAAGCAAATTATTTATATATGAAATATTATAAATCTTCTAAAAAAATATAAAAAAGATAGCGACTAATTTAGCGTCTCTCTCGTTTGCATGTTTTTATCAATCAATGGCGTTTGATATTTATATTTGTACTTTATGTTTTCATTATTAGTAAAACATCTTAATGAAAAAGAAAACGTTTTATTCACAAAAAAAAGAAATAATCACGGTAAACTACAATTTCCGGGAGCAAACGAGACTATTTTGGGACTGGGAAGGCTTCAACTTTGCTGATAGTTCATGGTTTTACGTTGTCATAAACTCTTAAACAAGAAAATCACTTAAAAAAATACCATTATTAATAGTAAAGAGGTAATAAGCTCATTATCGAAAGTTTATCGCGGATGTTAATGAGGGTGACTGTACAGATAGAGAGCGATTACTTATCTTTTTGGACCGATAACGACGCTACAGGGGGCCTACTGGCAAAACATTGTACGCGACAATAAAACAATGTATGTATTAAATTATATACTATTCAGAACATTTGATTGTTCTTTCGGACATATGTGGCTAAGATATAACGATTATCATATTGTTTATACACCGAAGGAAATCTAAATTTTGTCAAGTGTAGATTAATGCACCTATTTTTTTTGCCGCCAAGAAGTAATGTCAGCACTACCGTTTTTCGGTTTTGAAATGTGAGGATGCTGGTGAAATTATAGAAATTTGGTAAAAGTCTTTATGCAAAAAGGTGTATTTTAATATAAAAATAAAGAAAAGAAATACCTTAAATTTAAGAATATTTAATATTTGCGCACTCGGATTCAAAGTTGTGTTTATAACCGCTAGAAGCTTGAAAAGTACACAGAGCCTGAAAGAATATTAAGGAATCAACTCACCGGTATTGTTGTTGTTGTTGTTGTAGTGGTGCGCAGGCGGAGGTATGTAGTCTGGGAGCTCGGGCAAGCATACGTTGCTCTCGTACATGTTCGGGGGAACATTCGCTAGCAGGGACCGCTCCTTCTCCACGTCTGCAATGAGGTTCAAGTAAAACAAATCGCAAAAGCTTCAGTGATAGCCTATTCGGAATTCAATTTAATTTAAAACAGTGGGGGAAGCCTATGTTCTGCAGTGGACGTCTTCCGGCTGATATGATGATGATGATGATGATGATGATGAAAACAGTGCTCTGGGCTAAACCTTTCCTGGAGAAGATCGGTGTCTAGTAATGGGACGTTTATGTTTACAGGTAATGCTACGTAACTGTTTAGCTACAAGGTCTCCAAAAAGGAGACTTCTCCATTATTCCTACGTTTCGCAAGTAGGTTGACAATCACAATATCTTTTTTATGACAAGTGACAGCACGAACATGTGCGCCTGGTGTTAAGCGCAACCGCACCGGTCCATAGCAGTTGCAGTACCAGTCAGAGTTTTAAGCCTCGGAGATCTGAGGGACACTGGCACTGTGTCTAAATGCCATTGTGCACATAACTACTCCAGTACCCTTACTCTTCAAAATTGGAACACAGTGCTCACATTACTGCTTGACGGCAGAAATAGATAAGATGGTAGTACTTTCCTGGACGAACTCTTTCACAAGGAGCAGTAGTGTGCTACTTATTGCAATCTTTTAGATGCGAAACCTCCGTCTCTACTTTTAGAATACTAAATGTACCTTTCTGCAGTATCTCGAGGTGTTCCCAAAGGATGTCGCCCATGAACGCGGGTGCGCGTGCGACAAACTCCTCGCGGCCCATTGCGCAGATGTCTTTCCCTTGTGTGCGCGCAAACTGTTGCAGCGCCACGCCCTCCAACGAGAATTCGCGCGCGGCCCAGCGCAACCATGCCGCCACTGCTGCCTCGCTCCATTGCCGAGGATCTAGAGGACAGTAATAGGATTAATATCTCACATTATTAGATTCAAAGGGGAAATAGATAGAAAACACGCCAATGGATGAAATGGTACTATCAAGTGTTTTCGACACCCGTCTCGAGTTAAGCTGACGATCAAAGTTGAATTCATAGCATAAATAACCATAAATTTTTCACTCGAAAATGACAGTTGGTTTACTCATAAAACTTGGACATCTGAACTTGAACCGGTTACAACAAACGAAACGTTTGGATAAATTCGTCCATCTCCATTATGGTGAACTTTTGAGTAGGCACAAAAAACAATTACTAGGTGTATATATTAGAAATTATATAATATATAAATAATATATAAAAAATATATAATATATAAATATTAGAAATAATTGTATATGACAATCTAAGATTATACCTTTATATTATAACTAAAATAACCTTTACCTTGCACCTTTGGTCTAAAAATTATATTTTAAGCTTTAATTGTCCTTGAAGAGTAACAAAGGGACTAGGGACCAAAAACGGAGTTACGAGGTTTTCAAATTTTGGCCGACGAAGTAATTTATTCTGTGAAACACGTTTCCGGATTAAGCAGCAAAGGAAAAGTTGATATGGACCAGAATGGTACGGTGTAACGGGGTGATTTATGCAAACCAAAGTCGTGTCGCTTATTTTGCATATGAGTTAGTTGAATGTTGTTGATATATGAAGTGATTATAAATGCACAATTGCGGACGGTGCAACAATTAGAGGCAGCGGAAGCCCGGGCGCAGTGGACCAGCGCGTTGAGCAACGGCGAAACTTGCGCCACTACGCAAGACCGGAAGCGAGCGGACCTTGGTGCCGAAATGCTTGTCTTTCTATGATTGGTTTGAATTTACAGTCGTATTCATATGCACACCAGGTATTTTTTGTATTTTATCGAATAATTGAATGATGCAAGGTCGATATATTTAGTTTTTTTTTAAATCTAAATTTAAGGAGCTTTAGGGCGCGTTTAGGTGCAGTTTAAAGTATCGTGACTTGTATATTTAAATGAAGTTGTTGTAACATATAGAACAACACGATTAACTGTCGTTCAGGACTTTTTTGGCGTTACGAAGACAGACTGTCGTGACAATGGGAAGAACTAGAACGACAGTCATCTGACGATAAATAAAACGTCACGATAAAAATGTAACGACAGATAATCGCATCTTCAAACGATTATGTCGTGCAAACGTCAAGGCGGCTGCCTAGTATTTATGTGGTATGTGGGGGCTGACATGAACCGACAAATTGTCATCATGATCTAGTGGTAACACCTAGACACGACAGTCTTTCAACGATAAAATAAACGTCCACGACCAGATAGTCTTGATATGGGAACAGGTTAGATGCGACAGTCGTCCAACGGTAAATAAAACATTTCGACATAATGGGAACGCGCCCATACTGTGTAAGAAGACAATAATCGCTCCGTAACAGTATTTAACTTATACATCTAACTTTTTTTTTATAATACCAAGTGACGGGACGAACAAGCCGTGCACCGGGCAGTAAGCGACACGCCTATCCGTAACTGTTGAAGTGACACTCAGGGCTTTAAATCGCAAAGATCTTAAAGTACGTGAGACATAAGTTGACAAGTCTCACGTACCTGTAATTTCACCGTAGTAGATTCAGACTACTTACGTATATTTTGAACAGTATCTTCGCTTCAATATACTATTAGACTCATAGATATAGGATATCTATGATTACACTACGCAGTCTGTCGTATCCTGGCCACCCTCCTCAACTGTCTCCTGAGTCTTTTGGTCTGAACTCACTTCATCAAAACGTGGTAAACGTCTTCAATGACGCCGCAATTACTACAATATGGAGTTGGTGTAACTCCATCAAAAAGGTAAACATTGAGTTTGCTGGTATCATCTTCATTCGTAGGCAAAAAAGTTGTAATCTCTTCATAAAACTATAATGAAAATAAGATTCAATCAAATTACAGCGTAACTAGCCTCTGTCTTAGATCCTTTGAAATTCTAGTGGATATTAAGTCTAAGATTGATTATATAAAAATCAATAGGTATAGACATAATGCGGCGTTGGCAGCGACAAATAGCTCGGAGGCATTTTCTCGAAGAGTGGCGATGGCGGAGCGAGAGCGGTTAATAATAAATAATTAGTATAATTGCTGCTTTTAGTCGGTGGCCGGCGTTTATGTTGCTGCGATGCGATGCTGTTGTGCAGTATCCACAACGGTTCCATCTTTTTATACGCTATGAGCTGTTCACTCTGCTAAATGTTAATATATAACAGTTGAATACTGACCCGTGGCGTAAGGTGAAAACTGAACGGTGGCCAAGAGATGACATTGTTAAGGATTGTGGTAGATGATAGCACAAACTACTGGAGATCTGTACTTAGCAGTGGGTGGTTTCGGTCTGTGGATGATGATACCGCCTGTTGTCAAATTCAAATGCATCTCATTAGAGGAACTAGAATATAAAACGCCCCGTTTGAAAACTATGTTTCTCACAGTAGTGATAAAATTTTCACGTACTTTCTGTAAAGAAGACAGTTTCTAAGGCGAAGATAATTGTAATACTCGGACTTCTTCGGTTATAAATAATAAGCAATTTAATAATAATTAGGCCATGGGAGAGGCGAGAGTCTAAAATAGATATAATAATAATACTGAAACTAGGAAATGACCTGTGAGTGCCAGAACAATTATGGACCAATTTAGAATAGTCCGTTTCCCAAATTGGTCTTACCGGAAAAATTTACCGCTGGGCCACCGTGGTAGTCAATATTTTCTTAATATGTATAATGTAATCATTTCTTTCACATAATAAATTCAATTTCATTCATTTCATTAATTTTGTTTTTAACAAAATAACTAACAAATCATATTGAATATTCATAATGAATAACAAAATGGACTGTATATTGTCTGCAATAAATGATTTTTATTTTATTTGATATTTACGATACTGGCGTCAATGATTGTTTTGTTTGTAGAAAAGAGAACCACGGGCAGATATGAATACTGCTTGTCATAGTAACATCTCGTGAGTAGTTACACAAAGTATTATAACGGTAGTAACTAAATGAAAGCATCGCCAACACATGAATGATCGGCCGCCGTTTGTTTTTGTCTCGTTCTATCGCATGACATACAGATAATTCCCGTCTACCGGACTGGTAAATCGAACTAAGACATGTGTATTATTTATTATAAATACAATGCTTCTGTTTTCTGGTTATAAACACATCGTAATAAATAAGCACTTACGCACTTGTACAACTTTAGTAGACTTTTCTTTTTATATAAAAATATGTGTGCATTTGACCTCCATCTCACCTGATGGATAGTGACTACGAGGTCGACGATGTAGTATGCACACCTAAATAATGAATATTCAGTCCCGCCTTGAAAATATCAAAGTTATAGCGTTCGGGGAACAAGTTCGCTGGCAAGGTTCCACGCCCTAGCCGTTTGCCAGATAACTATGGAAGCGAAACGTTTTGGGCGAATCCGGGGAATATCCACAACATAGGGGGAGAACTCCAGCCCACGTCTAGTCCCCCGATGATGGAAAGGAAGGAAGGAAGGCGGAACCAAATCATGCAATTCCATCGCACACTCTTCGTGATATATATAAGCAACTTTACGACGGTGTTCAATGCTCTGCAGCTTCACCTGTACTCTACTCTAATCCGAGTCACCTATAAGCCTCTTGACACGCTTGTCTTTGTCTATCTCCTCATCATCTGTCATGTCTCCATAAAAAAAAGCTAGTTTTATAAGGACTAGAACCTAGTTTTACTGCCTATATCCAATTAATGTCGATTTAGCCCCAGACGAATCAAATTTTAGTGTAAAACCATTTTGTTAAAATTTGTTACTTTTTTTATTAAAGTGATTAACAAGACATACGTTAATTGTTATTAAATAATCTGAATTCATACCGATGGCTTTCGAGAATAGTAGCCTGTCTCAGAAGCATCTAATTCATAAATACAGATGTGATATGTCTGACACACAAAGCTTTCTTTTAAATATTATGTGTTATTTTTTGTTTATACTCCTACCCTTCTCTTCTTTTTTGCGTGGTTATAATTCTTGTAAGTATTCCTACTATGTGTTTCTTATTTTTAAAATTTAAGTATTTTATTTATTTTTATTAATGTAAGTGCAATGTGTGTATTATAGTCATATTTACTAGGATTTACTGCGCCCACAATTATATATTGTCTTTAAATTTACCCGGAGGTTGTCTGGAAGAGGTTGTTACATAGCAATAAGGCCGCCTATTGTACCTGTCTTTGGTCTATTGTTTTTTGTTATGCGTATGTTCATATGTGCAATAAAAGTATATTTGTATTGTATTGTTTTGTAAATTCGTGGATCTAACGACGACGTCAAAGGTGGTACATGATTAGTTCAAGATCTCGTAGAGACAATTAAACGCAGCAGCTTTCCGTACGTTTCCATAGTTAAACTTAATTGTATTGTTTACGTGGATATTAATAATTATCTATATATAATTATCTAATATTTAAAATATAATTGTCTACTATTTAGTAATAATATATTTATTTATTTCAATGTGATTTTTGTGTCCGATGATCAATGTAATTTCATTAGGGACGTCTATCGCCGTTTTGTTCATTATGTTGTATTAAATACTAATTCAGTAGTAGTGTCCTGTTCGTGTGGTTATATTACGGTCAGGTCCCCACCTGTAAGAAGAACACCGGGGGAGAGGAGTCCCTCTCAAAGCTTAACTCATAATCTAACGAGTTTAGTAGTATAGATTATATAAAATATGTATGTCCAAAAGTAAATAAGTATTACGGTAAAAGAACAAATAGACATTTCTTGCCAATTATATTTAATAAATTAGATTTTTTGAGAATTTGCTTCTCAAAAATCTTCTATCTCTTGAATTGTTACGTAAATATGATTTTAAAAAAAAATTAAAAGTAAAACTTGAAATTATGTAAATTTAATTAAACCAGTGT